TTGATTCCTCCAATGTATGTTCACCTAAAAGTTGGATACATTTTATGTAGAAGCTGACTAGGTTTATGGTCACCTAACTCTTCAGTAGTAACTGGTGCAGACGCTTTTGCTCTGACTGAGAAGTGCGCTTGACTAATTCTTTCGTCAATTTAGTATAAGGACGTATAGTGGGAGGCGATATCAACAAATCACGCACCACTTGGGCTATTTTGGGTTGCAATGCAGCAATAACATAGGCAAACTGTGTAGTCTCGGTGGTAATGCCCCTAGTTACATCAGTTTCCCTGAAGAAGTTGCTGAGATAGTAACGAAAGCTTAGAAGTAAGATTTACATTTTATTTCAAATATTTCCAATTACAATCATTTTTTCACTTGACATTATGAGCATTGGAATAGTTTCATATATTTTTGACAATGATGAAGCTTATTTCAGAGCCTACAATCACAGTAATGTAACGCAGTATGTCAGATAACGTCGGGGATTCGAAACCCACCAGTCTGACAAACTGTAACAACAAAGATAGTTGAAGTCTCCATTTTATTTCCCATTAGTTGATAACGAATTATTACAATCTTTTTATGTAACGTATCAATGTTAGGTCTACATTTTCTTGAAGATTTCTAACAATAACATGTTGCTTTGAGTAATTTTGGTCAAGCCTCCACACTGGCAAACTGGAGTAGGCCTAGGCCTAGCTAAAGTAGGCCTAGCCGAGGCCTAAGGCCTGCCTATTAGCTAGTCTAGTAATCGGGAGGGTAGGAGATTGCTCAAAAAATTGGGAAAACCCACCAAAATTGGGAGTTCTAGTTATAATGTAGGCTAAAGAAACATAATGGTAGGTTTCTGAACCATGTTAAAAATGAACTTGAAATTGTAAAATCGTGAAAATATAAGGTTGCGAAATATTGAAAATTGTAAAATTGCGAAAATATAGGGCCGCGAAAAAAGGGGTATACAGTATCCATGAGTTTCTAGTAGAAATATGGTAACCTGGACATTAGGAGTCTGACCCAGCCATAAATTTTTGTGAAATTTTTGCGTATATCTGTCTGTAATTATTAGGCCAAGCTTCTTTTAGTAGTCATGAATAATTGTTCTATTTTGTCAAATCTAATCGCGATGTTTAACATAATAGATGGTAAGCGAGCACACCCTCTAGTTATTGTAATAATGATAATAATAGTAG